AGTTGCCTTCTGAAATAGAATGTTACACCACTTTCTCTGCTGCTTCTAAGAAAAAAGACATTATTACCATCTTCTCTCTTAGTTGACAAGATCACATTCTCCTCCTCCTCCCCTCCCTCCCCCTCTCCTCTGAGGTACAGTCCCTCGAGTCTGTAATTGCCAGGAGATGAAGCGATGATGGGAGTGATCAGAGTCAATAGCTTTGATTAACAATAAGGTAGGAAATTAGCAATGCTAGCATTCAGCCACCCTGCCCTCTCCCTCCTCCATATGCTCCCTCAGTCATGCTGGCCGCCTCACAGAGGGCAGTCAGAGCCCTTTGCCAGCTTTGAAGTGCAGGCAAAGGTGCAGGCAGAGAGCAGAGAATTAGGGAAATTAAGGAGAAGAAGGGAAAACTGCACCATGATGCTCACACCGTCCCAGGCCTCAGCGTGCCGCAGGAGGGGCGAGGAAGAAGTGTGCTGTGTGTTGTCATTGTGTGTTTTTTTGTCACATGTGGATTTACTTGTGTCTGGACATGCTGTGATCGAAATGGCAACTACTGTTACTACTGTGACCCCATCAGCAGCTCTGGTGTTGTTTCCGACAGACCCTGAAGACCTAGAGAGGGGGAAGGACAACGGGACGCCAATCCCCACCTCCGATAATGATGACAATTCGCTGGGCTATACAGGTAGAGTCTTTTCTTTCGCAAATACTCACTTCCTCCAGAGATCCCCCATCCACCTCCATCCATCATCAGCCACCTGTCTAAAATGATCTAATCCATCCCTGTCCCCAGCTAACAAACACAACTTCTCCTCGGTCCTCATTTCCCAGACTTCATTCTGTAGCTAGGAGGCCACCTGAAAAAGTAAACCCTTTCAGGAATAGGAATTTCACATGAAAACTGCATTGCCACTTGTTGTTTGCTTGTGTTTAAGAGGAATCGGAAACTATGATACCAACCTGTTTAGAAGCGTACATTTTTAGAGATTTTATACTTGACTAAGTTGCTCTCAGGAGAAAAAAAAATGTAAGACTACTTGCAGGTAAGTTGGTTTCCACATTATCTCTTTTGTTGTTGTTATTATACCTCTAGTACATGTAGTCTTAAAAATGACAGAAAGCAAACTCTGAATGATAAAACAGTTTTTTAATTGTCAACTTACATCCTTTAATTTTTTGCCTCACATTTTTTCCACTTCTGAAGTATATGAATGTTAAATTAGCATAAAAGTAACAAATTAATTAAATGTGTTGGAAATTATTTACCTGAGTATCCAAGAATGATTGACTTGAACCTATGCCAATGTTTTACCTATACAATTTTAAGTACAGTTTTAAATATAATCACATAAATTACACTTCTCAACTCTCTAAGATAATTTGAAACTTCAGATAAGAACAAAGAATAAAAGACCATTTAAAACATTAAATTGGATAAAGATACAATATGAGTCTTGTGCCATATTATTAATTTATTATATCCTTTTCATTAGCCCTCATTAACAAGGTTTACTATAGATTTTGCTCTGTTTTGAGCTATCCATAATGGTCTGTGTGAAAGAAGGAATAGTTTGGAGTTAAATATAATGGAGACATTTTCTATGCCACCACGACTGAACAGACAACTATAGTAAAAAGAGAGTGATCTAGTAAACACATTACACTTCGGGATAATATAATAAACTAATATTTAAAATTATTCTTTCCTATCTTCAAAAAATATTCCTCTCCACTTTTTATCCAATCTTAGGTGCTAAAAATTGAATTAATAACAAAATTCATAACAACTGTATTTTATTTTATATTTTATTATAAAGGTGATGTACAGAGGGGATACAGTTTCATAAGTCAGATAACAAGTCACCTATCCCTCATTTTGTTCCAGTTTTCTCCTCTAATAATAACTTTTAAAAAGTTTAATATTGTAGTTCTATATTAATATAGCTATCTCATTCTCATTTTTTACTCATATTTCAAGAAAATAAAAAATCTTGAGGAGAGATGGTAACCAAGTTTGCCTAGTGCTTTTTCCAGCACAAAGTTAGAACAGAGTGGTAAATATCATACTAATACCAAGTACAGCAAAGGAGTCCATACTTATAAAGAAATCCAAGATAGTATTCTTTCTTAAGGGTCTCCTCATTGCCAATGTACCTTGTTTAATTGTCTTGTGCTCACCCAATCTAAGCAAACTGCATTGTAGATACACTAAATAGGATTTGTGCTTTGTCTCCAATGCATTTCATAGAAAGTATAAAAAACCAACACACAATTATGATAGGGCATTGAATTAGGAGACCTTTCGTAATGATATTAAGACTAAATGTTATATTATCTTTTACATTTTATTTATTCACCCTCTTGGGTTAATTAGTAGTCAGACTTCAGTTAGAAAGCATATCATTAGATGAATTAATCTAAGGTAATAAACGTTTAAAAGTATCTTTATATTATACGAGGAAAATAATTAAAGGAATATAATTAATTGCAAAATGACTGAAAGGCCATCTTCAGAATGATATTGTTCCTCAGTCTATAACATTTTGATATTCTAGTACTAAAGGAAGTTTACTTGGCACAATTTGTTTCAGAGATTTTCTGAGGAACTTTTTTTATATTATGTAAATTAACTGTGGTACTGTGTCTGGCTTATTTTCATGTTTACTATAACTTTATTCATTCATACCTCCACTTTGCTGAGAAAAATGATGTAGATAGAATATCTTGGCATCTTGATGACTATGCTCAGAAAGAACTCAATTGGCTCTAAATTTGAAATAATCATTCAAAGTATTACTTGAAATTATCTTCTGACTTTTTTTCTTGTGTGCATGTGTGTGTGCACGCGCATGCTGTGTGAAGTAAAGTCTTTCCTAAGCCCTCAGATGATTGAGTGAACAAAATCTAAAGTTCATTGCAGAACATTCAATTCAGAGGAAAGTAAGATGGATTTTATATTCAGAAATGGTTTTACATATTTAATGTAAATTTTCCATAGTTTAGTACATCTGAAGTTTAGTACATCTAGGTACAGCAACAAGAACACTGTAAGAAGGAAACAATACACATTTAGCAAACTTACTCCTTTAACATTATATGCATGCATATATGTACATGTATATATATATGGATATATGTACGTGTGGAAAAAAATCATGTAAGTCAGGATGCTTTTAAATTTTATATTCATATTCCCCTATCCTCCTTTTTAAGCATTAAAATAGTATAATTATATGAAATACTGATTAAAGAGTAAATTTAATCAGAGTTCTTTCTGTACATCTTTGAAAATATCATAACAAAATTCCTTTGCACAATAAATATATTCTAATAAAAAGAAAGGCAGAAAAAGTATAATTTCCACTTCAAGCTAATTCATCAGTGTAAGACCTGCCCTGTTACTCAGGTCATTCAGGACCATCACTGCTAGATTGACCCATGAGAGAAAACCATGGGTCTTAATGTCATCTACGTGAATTTATGTTTTCATTAATGATCTAGTCAACAAATGATAACAGTTGCTGTGCATATCACATACCATTCTTATCTTAATTGTTTAAATGATTTAGTGGAGAGACCCAGGAAAAAATGCTAAGGTCGAGTTCAGAGAAAAAACATGTACTGATTCTTTTTCTATCTAGTGTCTTTAGATATGATCATATAAAGCCACATAAGGTTTTAAAATATTTCAATTTTACTGATCAATAAATGCAAAGCAATTTCTAAGGTCGCACTATGGTCTCTTATTAAAGTGGACTTGTGCATTATTTATAATGAAATAGTCCATTTCCTGTTTAACCAACCATGGCAAAAATACTGGGGTTATTTAACAGTTCACAGAATATAGCCTTTGTCACAAGAACAAGTTAGAGAGATTTTCAAATCAGCAGTTTATGGGGCCAGAAATATAGTCCAAAGAGCGTGAATATGTAAAAATCAATTCCTTTCTAAAGGAACTTCTGAAAAGCCCATTGTTTATTGACTACTGGAAGAACATGTTATTTCACAAAAACGAAAAAGTAAGAAATATTATCTAAGAATACTTACATTTCTGAAATATACACCTAACCCATGTGAAATTTATTTATTTCACATGAAAAATTTATTTATTTTTTTGGTGAACATACTGTACAGAGGGGTTACAATTACATGGGCAAGATAGTGAGTACATTTCTTATCAAGCATTGCAGCCTCCTCCTTTGTTTATCCTTCACATCCCTTCCCAGCCTCCCCCCCCCCCCCCCAATCCTCCCCCCCCCCACCAAAGTTGTAAAGTAAGTTTTCGACATCACATGAAAACTTTAGTCAATCATACAGACAATGTTAAATTTTTAACAGCAAGTAAATACTCAGGAAATGAATGGTAGCTGATCATGTCTTAATTACATTTTAATTACATTTTAATATTTAAAACATACTGATTATTATTGAAAATTAAACTTTATCCAGTTTTATTGAATAATTGAATTTATTGAATAATATTGAATAATTCTGTGAAGTGCTGTAGACTGTCTAAAATGATGTATAAGTTCTATCCTTCCCAGTTCCACAGTGGGAAAAGGTTTGTCTTAAGAATTAATCTTATAGTATTATATTAGAAGAGTCCTAAATTCAAATTAAAAACCTAAAATCAAAAAAGCAAGTTATTTTTGTTTTGATTTGCATAAAACATAGTCAAACAGAAAGTAGAGTTGTTTCAAATAGAGATTTTTGCAGTCTTCTACTTGAACTCTACCTTATGGTAAGTTTGCATACAATTCTATTTAGAAGAAAACAAAATATTGTAAGACATGTCTTATATGTGAAAAGCATCTTTGACATATTAGTATGTTTATCCACATGAATTCAAGATAGCAAATGCAAAACTATATTTCAGATTTCAATAGCTAACCACATGATAGCATTGATTTTTCCCCTGCATTCCTAACTTTATAGCTTAGTTTACACACACACACACACACACACACACACACACACACACACACACTTTGTTTTTATGTCTTCAATAAAATCTAATAAATGCTCCATTTATGTATGTGAATTTTTATGTTATCTTCGAAAAGGACAGTTTTTATTATCTTCATGTACAGAGAAATCAATACTGCACACTTTAGTTTAGTGGGCCAGCTCCTAGCCTTGTCCAGTTTAGCGATTTCATCCACAGATTTTGGACCCTGGACATTGCCTCTCCAGTGATGGTGGATCTCATTATGTCTGTCTCTGTAATTGGTCCTGATAACTTCCACCAACTTGGCCAGAGATCTTTGGTCTTCAGAGGTAACTTGAGTAGAGGCAATGGTGGTGCCTGCCTTTCTGTGGACGAGGTGCCCCAGCCTGGCTTCCCTTTGATGATGCAGTAGAGGATGCTCATCTACTGAGGCAGGGGGGAAAACAACCAGCTCGATGGAGTCCATGTCTTGTGTAATCCACACTAGATGAGCCTTCTTGCTCCCTACCAAGGTGTTAACAGTGTTAACTCCTGATCGAGGATTGCAGGTCTCTTAGTGGAGAGGTCTCCTTTGCCAGCAGCTTTCTTCTCACCTCGGGCCAACATCCTCTGCTTCTTCTCCTGCCTCATCTCTGGCCTGTATATGTGGGCCAGCTGAGGGAGCTGTGTTCCTGGCTGGCGGCCCAAGGTCTAGTTAAACTGGTTACTCTCAGGAAGTGCTTTCAGGTGCAGGTAGATTGCCCTTTGCAGCTGCAGCAGCATAGAGCAGGGCCAGTTGACAAAATGGGGGAGGTTCCTATTGGGCTGAATGTCCTGTCCAATGCCAAGGATTTTAGGTCTTTTCTCCAATCGATGAGTCACCACTTTTTTGACCTAGTTCTTCTTTGCGAAAGCAGGGCCCAGAGCCCTCTTCTTCCCCTTGGCCTTCTTTCCTTTTGGCAGCTTACATACCAGGAAAGAACGAAATTTTTAAATTATTGTATTAATACCAGTAGTAGCACTTATTATTGTTTCATGTTTGTGAGTAGCTTTAAAGCACTTTTTATGCAGTAACTCTGAGTTTTTATAATCCTACCTCTCAGGAAAGTCCTGTTATTAATAGCAAGATGTTGACTTCAATATTCTCATTGAGAACTACTCTAAAATTAATGGCATAGTTCCAATCTTACAGATGTAGAATTTAAATGATTTTGTTTAAGCTTTCTTTATCTGAACATACAGTAGAGGAAAATGTACATTAGCCATTCTTAAGTGCACACGTGACATATATTAGGGGTCTGCTTAATTGTATATTCATAATTGTCACGATAATTAATGCACACATTTTCTTTTCTTTTCAAAAATCAAATAGGACAAAAGTTTTAAGGTAAAACAAGTATCTACTTCCCAACCTTTGAAAGCCTGTCCCTCCTATAACTTCATTTCTTAGTCTTCTGGATATTTCTTCTGATAGTTTCTTTTATACTTTTAAAAAATACACCGTTATAATACATTTTTCCCCTTCACTGATACTGGGGTTTAATCTCAATACTTGCTAAGCAAGCACTCTGCAACATGAGCCATACTTCTAAACCTTTATTACTTTAGTTACTTTGAGAAGGACTTGTTTTGCCTAGAACTCCCTCATAGCTGGGATCATAAACAGGTTACCATGCCTGGCTTATTGCTTGAGATGAGGTTCACCTCGAAAATTAAGTATTTTATTATTATTTTATGTTGAATAAAAAAATCTGCTGGCTCATCTATGGGTTGGCACTGTAAATATTGGAGTAACTTCACTTGTTATGGTAACAAGTGAAATGAAAACATACAAATGTCCCACTTAGGCTTTGCATGTCAGAGATTTTGTGTTCACTTTGGCCCTTCCATTTCTGAGGTAGTAATGTGCTGTCTTGACACTGTCTTCCATGATTACAGTAGAAAAAAATAAAAGCCATGAATTTTGCTTAAAACTTGGACAACTCACTTTCCATTGTCTTTAAAACTTGTCGACCTCATTTTCAATTATCTTTTGTGCAACAGAATCCTGATCTTTTATGTTTCTGGGCATTCCTACCTTTGTAACTGAAAGAGCCAAATATCACTTCGTTCATTGTATGATGTATAGGGTTTCTTTGATTAGAGGTCCAACTGCGCTGACTTCCAAGTTGGCAAGATAAAATTGGGGTTTCAAAAAGATTTTGTTTTGTCAAGAGGTCACTACTTTTTTCTAAAGCCTTACATATTTATTATGAATCTTCTACTGGACTTGCAAAACCGGTGCCCAGAATATACCAATACTACACAATTGGCTTTCCTGAAGTGAATAGCCCAGCTAACAAAGTGGTTTCATTCTTTAAAGTGATCCACAAGACAGTCTTCTCTTGCTTTGAGTCACAGTTAAAAGTAGTAGCATTGAAGATCACTAAGCTAAAAGGGGGAAACAATTCATTTATATGTGGGATCTGTTTCCTCCCAAATCAGAATTCACCAGTAGGAAATCACGTTTGAAAAAAAATATGATTCAAGAAGCAGCCATTTTGTTATTTCCCTTCCCCTCCCCAAATTAGAAAAATGTATATACAAGATCAGGTCATGGACATCAAATACAATGAAAACAGGGGTTATACCATGGGTGAAGAACATACAAAAGAAACAAAAAAATAAGGACACAGGTTTACCCCTTGTAACAATGAGATGTACAAGACACTGTGTTGAAAACAAACGTTACAACTTCGGGGAGAGGAGGGAAGAGTTGGGGAGGTGGAGAGGGAAGGAATGGTAGGGGAAAAACAAAGGAAGAGGTAACAATGCTCGATAGGAAATATTCTCATTACCTTACTCATGCAACTGTAACCCCTCTGTACACTATTTTTACAACAAAAAGCATTTTAAAAAGCAGGCATTTGTCTTTTACATTGGAGAAAATACAATTAGACTCCCCAAAATCCACAGAGATAATAAACAGCACTCTAAACTTTTGTGAGATTTATCTCCCATTCCTTGAGATATATATGCCTTAGAAAAGCATGCAATATATCTCCTACTTATAACTCTCCAAGATCTATGAACATGATCTTTTCATTCTACTGGCACCAGATGGTAACTGGGGTGTAGCAACATTGTCAGGAACCCAGAGGAGGAAAAAAATCAAAGAGTAGATATTAATATAGATAATATACAATAGTGAATGTGAACTAAAACTGTAAGTCAGGTATTGTTTATTTGCTTTGGAGAGAGGAATACATTTCCAGAATTGTAGCTACATTTAATGTGATGAGGTCTCTGCTAATTTCCTCCTGCCAAGTTATATCTGAAAATCTTTAATTTGAAATTTCTCACTCATTTAGTAAGCAGAAAATTTCATCATGCTCTAAATCCTATATTTCCTTTCTAACAGACTAGAGAAGTAAGTTTAGATAAGATAAGAACAAATATGTCATGGACGTTCAATCTTTTGTGCTGATGTTGTTAATTCATTTTCCTCCAGAGACATGGGAGTTAATTTTGTTTTTATGTTGAATATAGGAGCAATTCTTTATTTTTTGTTTTTTTTTTGTGAAAATACTGTACAAAGGGGTTACAGTGACATGAGCAAGGTAATGAGTACATTTCTTATCCAGCATTGTTGCTTCCTCCTTTGTTTTTGCTCTACCATCCCTTCCCTCCCTCCTCCTCAGCTACACCCCCAATCCCCCAAGCCCCACCCTTACACCCACTCCCACCTAAATTGTAAAGTTCGTTTCTCAACATAGCATCTTGTACATCTCATTGTTGCAGTGGGTCAATCTGTATCTCTATTTAAACAATTTGTTTTTCTCTCTTCCCCTCCCCAAATTATACCAATATCAAATACAGTGAAAACAGAGGTTATCTTGAATGATTACAAACAAGACCATACTAAAGCTACCAGCACAACTATGTTTATTGCAGCATTATTTACCATAGCTAAGATATGGAACCAACCCAAATACCCTTCAGTAGATGAATGGATCAAGAAAATGTGGTATATATACACAATGGAATTCTATGCCTCTATCAGAAAAAATGATATTGCCCCATTTGTTAGGAAATGGAAAGACTTGGACACAATTATATTAAGTGAAGTAAGCCAGGCCCAAAGAAACATAGGTCCCATGGTTTCCCTTTTTTGCAATAACTAATATAATTTATGTCTGGGACAAATAGAAAAGGTCAAATAAGAAAATAAGTGAATAAGTCAAATAAGTGTTAAGTGAAATGAACCCTAAGATAGGGACCCAAGTTGTTTTTGCTTCCTTGCTATTGTTTCTAACGTATTTATATAGTGGCAGTTCTAAGGAACTTATACCATGCAAGATATATTGAGGAAACATTGGGTCTTCCTGACTCAATGATGTATTAAAGAATTGGCAAGATGCTTACATGGTGGATTTTTAGGCACTCTGACAGATGTGCCTAAGATAAAGTTCTTGATTGATGAAATATAGTAAGATCTCCAGGTATGAGTAATATCAATGGCCTGTATTTCTTTTCTTCACATCAGACATCCTGATGAATGAGCTTTCTCTCAGAAAGTTCAGAAAGAAAAGTATAGCCCATGGGGCTGGGAAGGTGGCTCAGTGGTAGAGTGCTTGCCTTGCATGCATGAGGCCTAGGTTCAGTTCATCAGCACCACATAAGCAGAAAAAACGGGAAGTGGCACTGTGGCTCAAGTGGTAGAGTGCTACCCTTGAGCTGAAGAACTGAGAGACAGTGCCCAGGCCCAGAGTTAGGCCCCATGACTGACAAAAAAAAAGAGAAGAAAGAAAGAAAAGAAAAGAAAAGAAAAGTATAGTCCATAGCTATGATTGTATTGCAAAATCTGTTTTACAGCTACTGGCCTCTCTTCTAATTTCAGGGCTCCTCCAATCCTGTGAACTTGGTGAGGAGTGATAATCTAGAAAGTAGTCAAAGGATATGCCTTTGCAATACACCACTCAAGTCAGGTCTTTATAAAGCATCCCTTCAAACTCTTTTTTATATAAAAATTAATCAGATCATATTAAATTATAGCAGTTTCCATTTAAGAAGTTATGACCATTCAGTAACCACAGGATATCCTTGGATTAATTTTTAGATAACAGACTTACTTTGTTAGATGACTACTTACACTTGACCCTGACTCCTCCTCACCTTATTACCCACACTTAAATCAGAGAATAACCCAGGTACACAGCTCTCCAACCTAATCCCTGAACAACAGACAAAAAACACTGCAGTGCTGTTCAATGATGTAGGAGCATTTCTCTGAAGTATACAGAAATTTTTAACATTACTTCAGTGAATGTTTTCTAAGCCCTTTCAGGGACAGTTGGGGGATGGAAAGTATGTTCTAAATTCACTCCAACATTTGTATTATCCTCACTTCAAAGCAGAAATAAAATTCCATGGATGTAAGCCACATGTATAGTTTAAAATGTACTAATATTCACATTTTAAAACAAAGTAAGAAAAAGTAAGTACATTTGTTTTCAAAATTTACATTTTGCTCAATACAATGTACTCAAGGGCTTATTATTTCATCTGAAATATACACTTGTGATATTTTGCTGTCCCTTTTTGCATTATTTTACACACAGTGAAATCTTGATTTTGGATTTCCCACATGTCAAGTGCTTGATAATCACATGAATTCCTCCCTCTCTGATATGCCAAAGAATTTTTGGCATCTAAATTATATTTACTGAAAACACTATTTGGGTCTAAGTTTCTGTGTTAGCAAGCACACAGCTAGAGCCATTTCCAGCTGCTACAAGGAACCCTTGAATACCAAATCTGTATTAAATAAAAATAACATTAACAAATTTAGACACTTTGAAATCTTTTTTTTCCTGATTTAGCACATTTACAGTAGTACCGCCATTGATATTCTCCAAGTTTCTGTTCATGCAATTTAGTACAGCACCGTCTACAAAGCCTACTACACAGTCTACTTCTCTTCC